CTGTTACTGTTCTTAATGATCAGTATGACAAAGGAGGGCAAAGATTATAGTACAATAAATCACAGACAAATCAATGTACTCACCCTATGTAGATAAATGATTTCTACTGGAAATCAATTTTGGTCTCATAACCACCTTTTTTCTAGGCAACCTAGAATTTTTATGTCTGCAGCCTAGGAATCAACAAATTGTAGTTTTTGAGCTTGCCATGCCTCTAACTTACTGAGTGGTTTTTTCTTGTTTGTTTGTTTGTTTGTTTGTTTATTTCTGAGTGGTTTTATGTTTAGAGGTCTATGCTTAGGTTTTATCTGGTTGGAATGTAGGTAAAATCATTCTTCTCTAGAGTTATACAATTTCTGGAAATGTTAAAGCCAAGGGGCAAGAGCCAAGGTGGTTTTTTACTTTGATGGAAATCGAAATGTTGCAATGTTGCCTTCTAATCTTGCCCTTCTATCCTGTCAATTCACCCTTGACTCTGGAACTTTGGGGACAAATGCAAGTTCAACAGATATTGACACTTTTCAGTACCAGGTTCCCTGTTCAGTGCTGGGAATGCCAGCCCTTCTCTGTTTTGTCCTACAATTGCCCAACCAACCCCTGGTTTTTACTGGTCATGCTTCATTCATTTTCATTCAGCAAATATTTGTGGAGCACATACTAAGTTCTAGGCACTGTGTTGGGTGCCAAGCTACAGGGATGAGAAGAGACAGGCCATACCCTCAGGAAAATTCTGGCCCCCACTTTGAATTAATTCTCCTGGCAGTTATCTCCCGCCTCTGTATTCCCTCAACACCTACTTCATGCCTCTTTCTAGCACTTACATCACTGTACTTATAATACATATCCTTATCTCCTTTTAAACCATGAGTACCTTGAAGACGACAATCTCAACTTTCTCTCCTGGGTGCCTCGCACTCCCTAATGTCTAACACATAGGGGAGCTCAATAAATGTTTTTGAATGAATAAATAATTGCATGAATTTACAAATTAATAAACCTATGGAGCCATAGACCAGTCTGCCCTGACCCCCCATCCCACATCTCTTGGATTAGGAACTCAACGATCAGTCATCTGTTAGTACTGCAACACTCCTTGTGATTTCTCTTGGATTAGGAACTCAACGATCAGTCATCTGTTAGTACTGCAACACTCCTTGTGATTTCAAGGAACTTCTAAACGTAAAACCAGCTGGTACACGGGTCATTTCTTCTTCCAAATATATTTGCCATTGAGATGAAGAACAAATACTAGCTTCAGCTTGTGTTTACAATACTTTTTTGCAGGAGGGCAAATATGATTATATATGATTTAAATGAAATGAACTTATAGTAAGGAAAACAAGTGAGTTTACTTGCGACTCTTGGATAGATACTGTTAATATAGCTACAGAAAGAAGAAATATAATAACAATGGCTTAAACAAACTAGAAGCTCTTTTTATCTGTCATGTAAAAGTCCGGAAACAGTCTGATACAGAGGTTCTGCTCCATGAAATCATCAGCTCATGGTACCATCATTCCCTAAGATAGGGTGCCTGGGTCACGATGGGCTCCAGCTGTCACCGAGACCTCCATGCAGCAGAAGGAAGGAAGAGGGATGAAGGGACAAAGGACAAACACTAACTCCTAAGCAGTTTCTTGGAGGCTGCCACAGGCACTTCAGCTTACATCCCACTGGCCACACGTGATTATAAAGGAAGTTGGGGGAAATGGTTTTAATTCTGGATAACTACATGTCCAGCTAAAAACGATTTTAGTGTGGCATAAAAGGAGTACAGACATGAGCGATACAATCAGATGTCTCCACTGCAGATACTGCAGCTGAAGTGTTAGTTGACTCTTCAAGGACTATTGTATTCTGATTCCTGCAAGCTGAAGTCACAATGATGAACTCCAATTGTTAATCCACTGTGCTATGATCACAGTTGGTACTGCTCTGTCACTATCAATGACAGCAGGAGTGAGGGAGAAGGAAAAGAAAGCTTTTGCAATAAGGAAATTAGGGGGCAGTGGGAGTCTGGATAAGGCATCGGCAACGGCAGTCGAAAGGGGAAGACGGGGGAGAAAGATGGTAGAATCAGCAGGACAAAGTGGTTGGATATTGGAGGAAAGGGAGAGGGAGGATCTAGAATGATTTAGCTTTAAAGCAAATTAGACCCTAGTAATTGGACTTAAAAAGGGCAGTTTGGAGACTGCATTAGACTGGTGGAGTTAACTGCTGTAAATTGACCTGAAATCTCTCCTTGATCTATTACTTCTTGCCATGAATTTTCTTTTGAATGGACTAATTAAGTTAATAAACTTCTCCAAGTAGTTAATCTTTCACAGGGAAAATTTTACAGGTCTTAGTGACCTACCTTAACCAGTAATAATGTTCCCTCTCCTAATTCAGTACACTACTCGGGACTCCTTAAAATTCTTAATTCTTGAGGCATTCTTAATTCAAGTGCCAGAATTTCTCATTTGAGTAAGCTGAATATATGGAGAATCTATTCCCCCATCTAGAAAATGGAGTTGGTACTACAGTTGTGAAATTTAAAATACATTGGATGTTTAAAGGACATGACACAATGCCTGGTTCAATAAATGCAAGTTTTTGTCTCCTTCCAAAGTTCGTTCGTTCTTTCTTTCTTTCTTTCTTTCTTTCTTTCTTTCTTTCTTTCTTTTTTTTTTTTTGTGCATTCATTCAACATTTATTCAGCAGTTACTAGTGCAGACACTGGACCAAGTGCTAGGGGGCACAGCTGAGTTTAGTTCTTGAAACCAAAGTTATAATATCCTTTTTTTTCACTTCTGAATGTTGAGGTAAATTCTGATCCTCTACACCAATGTGCCTTCCTACTGGACTGGGAGTTCCTGAGGGCAGGGAACATGCATATGTTTGTTACCTTTATATTCCCGGTCCTTAACACATGTACTTATTAAATGTATGAATGAATGCATGACCAAGGTCCAAGAAATGAAGCCAAAAATCTAAATGCAGGACTGGAGTCAGAAAACTACTCCATGGTAGTTCTGGATGGATCATGGCTGTTCAGACATTATTGGAGACAATTCCATGAATGCTGAGTGTCTGTGGGGGTACTCCTTCCACGTGGGGCCCAGTAGCTTCTGCTAGAATGGCTATTGGAAGAGGTAGGCTTCCTAAAGGGCAAGAGGCAGCATGTGACAATGATTAAGGGTTCGGGCTCTGGAATCAGACATCTATGCATATAATTACAGTCAAATATGAAAAATCTCCCAAGAGGAGAACTCCAAGATCCAAGATGTAGAAGACTATAACAGGTGGACCTGCCTAGTCTGAGGGTCCAGGGAAGGCCTCCTTGAAGAGTCCTGTAAGTTGCTCACTGCACAACTGAGGGGTTAGTGTGGGTAGAGATCCAGGCTATGCTCCACTCCCAAGATGGATGCCTTAGTGCAGGGCTGTGTCTGGCCCAGAGGAGTTATTTTCTCCATTCACACAAAGGCTCCAGCTTGCCAAGCTACACCTGTGGTTATGAGCACCTAAAAACTGAAAGATAAGTAGATGTTTTCCAGGCAAAGTTTAGGCCAGAGGGACCAAGGAGGGGGAACAGCATGTGTGAGGTCTGGGGATTTTACAAAAGGCCTGGTGCACTTGAGGAACTGAAGGAATTTTGGGATGACTGGAGTGTGGAGTTCAAAGAGAAGATCAACAAGAGTGAAACTGGATCACGGCTAGCATTTTCTGTGAGTTTACTAATTACACTATGTTAATGGCCCTCCATGCTTTATTATATTGAGATCACAGAATGACTTTACCGAAGTCATGTTAGAAAACAGTGAAACTATGATTCAAAGCCAGATTTAACTTCAGAGCCTGTGCTCCAAACCATGTGTTCCGTGGCATCCGAAGATTTGCAAAGGCAGATTGCAAAGGGATGCAACTGGAGGCAGGAAAGCCTATTAGGAAATAATTGCAGAAATCCAGATACGAAATGTTGGCAGGCTTAAGATGGCTTTGGAAATGGAAAGGAGTAGATGGAGTCCAGAGATTTGGGAAGCACAATCTACAGGACTTGGAGGTTGTTTGAGTATGAAAGGCAATGATGAGAAGAGGGAGGAGGCTAGGATGACTCCTTATTTTGTGTCTTTGTGGATGGTGCATCCTTTGCTGAGATTAAAAAACAATGAAGTAACAAGTTTGGGAGGAAGGTGAGTTTAGAGCCTCTCAAGTTGGAAGCACCTGTCATCCAGGTGGAGATGGCCAGGTGACAGTTCAGTGCTGGCTCTGAACCTCAGGAGAAGCTGTATAGTGACCCAACATCAACATATCATTGGTAATTGACCCAGAAAGTGAGTGAGAGAGTGTAGAGAAGAACAAAGATTTCCTGGCAGAAGGACTTTTCCCCCGATCCAGCTGTTGAGCCTTATCAACATAATCTGACCTTTGATTTATCTGCATCCTTTACAAGAACTATTCCTCAAAGGTTTATGGAGTGTCATATTATAAACTGAAACCAGAGATCTGTGATAAGAAGGTACAAAAAAGGGAGTCTACCATAATAAAGAATAAAGAACAAATGGCCTTTTCTGACTTTTTTTTTTATTCAAAGCCAGATTTAAATGTAAATAAGACTCACTCTGTATTTTCTATAAGAACATAGGTGCTGAATAAAATATCATTTATATTACAATAATGCAAGGAACTGCTTCTACTAAGAAAATTCTATGCATTATTCACGCAGAAGAATGAATGAATTAAAATCCAGCAACATCAGTGGAGGCCTTAGCTTATCAATGACCTCTTTAAAATGTGGCCTCACAACTGAACACAGTCCTTCTCCAATATGGGAAAGTAAAGTTTTCTGTATCTTACACTAAGTGCTATAAAAATGAGACTCTAAGTCATGCCTTCCCCTCCTGCTACCCCTCAGCCTCTCTAAATGGAAATTCTAAGCCATGTCAGTTGCAGTCATCATAATGAGATGGGATTTAGGCTTAGCTGAATTCATTTTGTCTCTCTTTTCTTTTAGAAAGCATCACAGACACTCTTTACATGATGTGGCTTCTAAAGACTCAAGGACCACCCATCTTACTAGTCTGCAATGGCAAAGGCAGAAATGGATATTCAAACCCCACAGCCTCTGTTCTGTTATTAATCACTCTGTAGACATGTTCCCCCAGTACAGAGAGTGAACCGCACCAAGGGGGAAAGTTCCAGGGGCCCCCAAACCACCAACACTCTTGTCTCTCCCCCTGGAGAAAAAGCAGAACTATGGCGTTTAATAGATGTTGTTTGATCTTCTTGGCAATTACCTGGTGCACTTCTGCCTATGGGCCTGACCAACGAGCCCAGAAGAAAGGGGACATTATCCTCGGGGGGCTCTTTCCTATTCATTTTGGAGTAGCAGCCAAAGATCAAGATCTAAAGTCAAGGCCGGAATCTGTGGAATGTATCAGGTAAGGAAAGGAGCCATGTGCAAGAGTCTCTTCTCTTCTGGTCGTTGTAGAAAAACTGTACCAAACCCAAAGTAATTTTTTCAAACTTGGCTCTCTCTTTTCAAAAATGGTGATTAGTAGTCATGCTGAAATTATTCCACCACCAGCCCTTTTTAAAAGAAATTTTTCAAATAGTAAAATGTCAAAAATGTTGAGTAAAAAAAATCCATGGCCTGTTGGGGGTATGTGTCCAGTCACTTGGTAACTGAATTGTCATTGTTCATCTGGCAGCAGTGTTGCTGAATGAAAGACTAAGTACCCAGAAGGAAATTTATTATAGGTCTTGCAAACCTAAGTAGTAAAATCTCCCATTTACCTTAAGTGCCCTAGGTATTAAGGTCAGTAATACCTGAGTGTTGGTTGCCTCACTCTCACTATTTTTAAAAAAGGATTTTAAAGTTGAAAGAAACCTCAGTGGTTGGCATGATCCAGGCATCTTCAAAATGCAGCCCACAGGATTGTGGAAGTCCTTCTTATAGAAGGCTGAAATCCTGCTGCTTAACACAGATACGCCTAACACCAGTGAAGAAAACACAGAATCTATCTAAGTGTCTCACTGAACTCTCTCTTCAGCCATTGGAAGACAGCTAACACGTCCCACTGAATCACTTCTTTTCCAGGCCTGAGTCAAGGTTTTCTGAACAATTACTTCATGACATGATTTCTAGACCCCTCACCATTCTCATCGCCCTCCATCTAATGCTCCCTAATTTATCATGACTATGATACGGCATCTAGAATTAGGCACAATTCCTTCAAAGAAGATCTGACTTCTGCAGAGTAGAATGGACTGTATATCACCTCCCATCACCAGGATATTGGAGACCATGACTGCACCCCAAGTTTTTACCCAATTTCCAAGAGAAAATACCACTTTCTCTCTAAGACTTGCAATGTTCAGAAGGGATCCAGCATTTTTTTCCTGCTCTTCCTGATTGCTGTAAAATGAAAATGAAAACTACAATTGTACCAACAAAACTGACTTCTGTTCATGTTTCTAATGAAAGCTGAAAAATTAGATAACATTTTCACATTTTTCTCATGAATACAGAAAAACTAAGTACAGAATTTCAATTATGCTGATTATATCCCTCATATAACCCATGTGGACAAATATCCTTTTGTTGTGCTCTACTGGACAGAGTTGTGCGTGTGCTACGTATATATGTAAGATCAAGCAAGAAGCCCTGAAATACACTATATTTTAAATTATATTAAAGAAAGACAGCAAAAGCAGTATAAGTGTTTTATGTAAAGAAATATTCTATAATCTCTCTTAACTTTGCAGGTTTAAAACAAATAGCTAAACAAACAAAAAAAGATGGAAACATAAAGAAAATGACTAGGAGAAAATGTCACATTAAAGTTAGGAACCTAAACAATGCAGTGGAGTATAGCAAACTGTATTCCTTACCTCCTGTCATTGAGTCACTGTAACCTACCAGGTGGAGAGGTAACCTGCAGAGTTATTCCATTTCTTCCTTTGGGCACTAATGCACTGATTCAGCCACTTATCTAGCCCTCACACTTATCTAGCCTAATTCTGGGAGACTGAAAACTATGTCACTGACCCTACTTCTCTTTGTTAAATTTGCTCAATATTTATTTAAAATAATGTTCTTTGAAAAGCAATACATGCTCATTTTTTAAAACAGAATACATAAAGCAAAAGCTCACAATTTTAAAACGCATTGCTCCCCCATCCAGAAATAACCACTGTTTGTAAACAGCCCTCCTATATATGTTTGTTAATTTACGAAGATGAGGCCCATCATTTCCCTTTCCCCTTTGACCTCCAGTAATGTCATAATCTAAATTTGTGACTCGGCCAACCTGAAGTTATTTTTAGGCTCCCACCTACTAAAATTCTAATCTTACTTATATTTTCCCTAATCCTTTCTTTTAATCTCTGTATTATTTTTAATACTTCACATCAGCAACTTCAAACTCTTTGCTGGATGAAGCAGATACAAATTATTCATTCTATTACTAATAACAATCTTTGCTATCATCACTCCCTCTGTGTAAGGCACCATTCTGAAAATTTTGCATAATTATCTCATTTCACAGCCACCATATGAGGTAGGCACTGTCCCCATTTGACAGAGAGAGACACATCATGAAACCAGAGTAACAGAACCATGATTCAAACCCAGCTTTGCCCAGTCCCTACTCTCAAGCGATTGACCAGAAAGCCTCCCATTTTCTTCCATTTCTTCTTTCTTCCAGGTACAATTTCCGTGGGTTTCGTTGGTTACAAGCAATGATATTTGCCATCGAGGAAATCAACAGCAGCCCAGCCCTTCTTCCCAACATGACACTGGGATACAGAATATTTGACACTTGCAACACCGTTTCTAAAGCCTTGGAGGCCACCCTGAGTTTTGTGGCACAGAATAAAATTGATTCTCTGAACCTTGACGAGTTCTGCAACTGCTCAGAGCATATCCCCTCTACCATCGCTGTGGTGGGAGCAACTGGCTCAGGCATCTCCACAGCAGTGGCAAACCTGCTGGGCCTCTTCTACATCCCCCAGGTACATGTGCCTTCTTAGATGGGGCAGCAGTGTAAGCAGGGATCAGGACTCAAAGGGCTGTTGTGCCCACTGTCCATACAGCTTGCTATTTTCCTACCTCTGGCTTTACATTAGCACAGAAGACCTTTCAATTAGTCGGGGCACTGTACCATGACCATTTGGGATTTCTGAGACCCCAACACCAACCATGTCAACTAAACCTTCAAGACTCTTCCAAAATTCTTTTAAACATACCATGTACAAAACTTTGTCTTTTTTATCAAAGTGTTCAGTTATTTATTTTTCATCCCCTTCCTTTGGTAAATGCCATTCTTCTGCCTTTACTAAAAGAAATGAGACCATGTGATGTAAATCCCACCTTTCAAACTCAAAATATCTGTCCCTAATCCTATTCCCTTAAAAGTCTACCTCTCTACCTTCTGGCTGAGAGTTTAGCTCAGGGGGAAGCAGAGTATACTTTCTCACAGAACAAGAACTTAATCATTGTCTTGCACATTCTAGAAATGGAAAATACTCTATTTCATTCAACAAATACTTATAGACCATATATGAATAAATAGTGTCCACTTTGCAGGAACTCAACCTCGGTGAGGAGATGTCTGTATTTTCAAATTCTAGAAAACAGTTCACTAAAACAAGTGCTATCATAAACATTTATTCAAGTTTGCATATTTCCCCCCGTGAAGTAAACCTTTTTGCATGTTAATATTCATAGATTTATGACATCATTTTATAATAGTGAAAAATTGGAAACAACCTAAATGTCCACGGATGGGACAATCAGCTCAATTGTGAACGTCCTTTATAACAATTTTAAAATTCAATTATAAATGATAATTGATTTATCATTTTTGATGTTTAATATTTAAAATTTGTAAGAGTACCTTTCATAAATTCACATTTATATGTTGGGAGTCTCCATTTCTTTGGTGATAGACATTATCATTTTATATACATATGGCAACTAAAAAAAGTCTTGTCATCATTTCCCGAATCCTTACTTCAGGGAATTAAAGGTGTTTCCCATGGGGAAGCCCTGACTCTATAACTTTTTCGCAAAATGATCTAACAATGCCCTTATCAGTAAATGTGCTGGGCAATATGCAAATACACACCTTATAATTTTGGCATATTGTACAGAATTCTTTTTAAATACACAGTTAAAGTGAGTTGTTGTAGCCAATAGGCATAAGATGTAATTGCCACCAAGTAAAGAACCCAAAGTAAAGGTTTTAATTCTTTGTGGTTTGGATGAAAGATGAGGTTGAGCTAAATTTGAATTATAAAAGTGAAGACTATAATAATTCTCAGTCAAAACAATGTCACGTGTATCTACAGCAGTGGTTCTCTGCTGTGACTGCATGTTGGAATCATACAGGGAGCTTTAAAAATACCGATGCTTGGGTTTCACACCCCAGAGATCTGGGTTTAATTGATATGAGATGCAGCCTGGGTGGCAGGAGTTTTGGAAAGCTCCTGAGGTAATCCTAATTTGCAGCAGAGTTGGGAGTCACTGTTTTCTTGGGTGGGGGCAGAGGCCCAGAGGTATTTCTTATGCCACTCATGCCACCAAGTGGATGGAATAAGCAGACCAGCTAGAACAGTTGTGGTTAGAAGTTCTCTGAATCATTCATGAAATTCTCCGCTCTCACAATAAAAAAAGTTTTGTGTGCTTTTGAGGGTTTTTTGTTTTGTTCTGTTCTGTTTTGTTTTTTGGTGGGGAGAACAGGTAATGAAGTAGTACTTATCCCCATTTTTATGGTTTCTTTTTAAAAACTGGACAAATATTATAAATGCATTTTAAGAGAAACATATCCATAGTAGATATATTTATTTGTAATGTTAATCCTTTTAAAGTGCTTTTCAGCCCACTTTTCAAAAGAAGTAAGCAATAATTGATGAATTTACAAAACGTCTGAGTAGGTTTTTCATTTGCAAACATCTGATTCAGAAGCCTGCTGTTTGGGTCTGCAAGTAGAGCTCTGAAAAACAATAACATCTCAACAAATTAGTTAATCTAACTACCTACACCTCATGAACTCTCATAACAGCAAGAAGGGGCTTATTCTGATAAAAGAAAAAATTGTCAATTTCATATTATGACTTCCAAAATCAAAGCTCTTATCAGAAAAATCATGCCCCCTTAGCAAAGTTGGCCCTGGTGGGTTTTTTTGTTTTGTTTTGTTTTGTTTTGTTTTGTTTTTTAGAGGCGGTGGAGAGGGGAGGGTAGAGGGAGAGGGTGAGAGAGAATCTTAAGCAGGTTCCATGGCCAGCATGGAGCCCGATGCAGGGCAAGATCTCACAACCTTGAGATCATGACCTGAGCCAAAATCAAGCGTCACACATTCAACTGAGCCCACCCAGGTGCCCTGGTCCTGAACTTTCATACACCAATGTCTTTCATATTTTTGATGTAGAAACTATTCATTGGTAAGAAGGAATATATTGGAAAATTCAGGGAGGGCACATGATGTGATGAGCACTGGGTGTTATATGCAACTAATGAATCATTGAACACTACGTCAAAAACTAATGGTGCTATATGTTGGCTAATTGAATTTAAATTTTAAAAAAAGATCTAAAAAAGGAAAATTCATTTTAAAACATTGAACATAGAAAACTATTTCAACTGGTGAGAAATATTAAAAGGACATTCCCCCCAATTTTTCAACTTGGTTTCCTTTAAAATCTCTGTAGAAAACTGGAGAACAAGAGATATTAAACACTCTGGCATTACCAAGAGAGGGAACAACTGGAAACTGGGAGAGAGAAATTAGGCAGAATAGGAAAGAGGACCCTTGGGGCTCCTCTGAAGAGCCTTGGGTTTATAACCCACAGGGAACCTCATTCCTTCCAGAAGTAAGTCATGGACAAAGTGTTCGTCATAGTGAAGGGGAAGCTAAAACGTTTAGGTCAGAACCCGGACCTAACAGGAAAAAGATGTGTACATGGATATATTATAACCAATGAGGCAGCACAGAGGAAGTTAGGAGCGACTATGGAACAGTGTATAAAGACTCTCCTTGAAAGTATAAGTAGATTCCATTATTGTTGGGTTGACTTTATGGCCAGACCCATTTCTGAAGGTAGCATTGTGAAGAATCACCCACTGGGAATTATGGTGCTCCCTAAATGACAGATGCTTGAGTGCTCACACCCACCCTGGAGATAACAGATTCTGGCTGTCTTCACCTTTTCATCCCAACTGCCATGAACAGCATGTTTGATAAGTTAAATTCATGAATGCTCAAAAAACCACCCCGCACAGCCTCCCTCAGTGGTACCTCACTCACTCATTCATCCTGTGTTCTTTCCAGGTCAGCTATGCCTCCTCCAGCAGACTCCTCAGCAACAAGAATCAGTTCAAGTCATTCCTCCGTACCATCCCCAATGATGAACACCAGGCCACCGCCATGGCAGACATTATTGAGTATTTCCGCTGGAACTGGGTGGGCACAATTGCAGCTGATGATGACTACGGACGGCCAGGGATTGAGAAGTTTCGTGAGGAAGCAGAGGAGAGGGACATCTGCATTGACTTCAGTGAACTCATCTCCCAGTATTCTGATGAGGAAGAGATCCAGCAAGTGGTGGAGGTGATCCAGAATTCCACAGCCAAAGTCATTGTTGTTTTCTCCAGTGGCCCAGACCTCGAACCCCTCATCAAGGAGATCGTCCGGCGCAATATCACAGGGAGGATCTGGCTGGCCAGTGAGGCTTGGGCCAGTTCTTCCTTGATTGCTATGCCCGAGTACTTCCATGTGGTTGGAGGCACCATTGGATTCGCTCTGAAGGCTGGGCAGATCCCAGGTTTCCGGGAATTCCTGCAGAAAGTCCATCCCAGGAAGTCTATCCACAATGGTTTTGCCAAGGAGTTTTGGGAAGAAACATTTAACTGCCACCTCCAAGAAGGTGCTAAAGGGCCTTTGTCCATGGACACTTTCCTGAGAGGTCACGAAGAAGGTGGTGGCAGGATAAGCAACAGCTCCACTGCCTTCCGACCTCTTTGTACAGGGGATGAGAACATCAGCAGCGTGGAGACCCCTTATATGGATTATACACACTTACGAATTTCCTACAATGTCTACTTAGCGGTCTATTCCATTGCTCATGCCCTGCAAGATATATACACATGCTTACCTGGAAGAGGGCTCTTCACCAACGGTTCCTGTGCAGATATCAAGAAGGTTGAGGCTTGGCAGGTACATCCTTCACTTAGATAGCAGTTCACTTGTATTTTGGCAGAGTTGGGCGGATTCAGGCAAGACAGATAAAGTGGTACCTCAAAAAGGCAGTATCTAAATGACATTGCTATACATAACTTTGGATTCAAATTGCCTTTTCAAACATCTGAGCAACTGACTTCTGCAAAATTAATAGTCATTTAATTTGATTATCTGTTTAAAGCCTTGGATCTTTAGCCCAGTGGTTCAGAATACCTAGAGTATAGCCCCTAAAAGCTTTTAAATATCCTGGAACAGATTTAATACTGTGTGGAGTATTTTTACAATGCTTAAATTACAGATATTGTTCCCTTATAACAAGTATTTGTTGAGTACCTATTATATTCCATGCACTAAGGGGCATAAAACTAGTGTTATTGTGTTTAGCCACTATTACCATAATATTATTTACAATATAATGTGCTGGACCACCCAGTAAGCCAACTAAGCTTAAGACACTAGCAAATCAAGGGCATAGGGGAAAAAAAAAAAAAACTCTTCTTAAAAAGATTTGATATTGGATATTTCAAAAAGAAATACTGAAGTAGTTATCATAGAAAATGATTAGATGAAGGTGGAACTCCTACCCTCATTTTATGGTTTAGTCTTATTTTGTATTTTTGATTTGAATTACACATAAAAGAGACATCATAATCTTTTTCATTTCATAGAACTTCTGAAGATAAAAGTCTGCCTGACTTAAATCCTACATAGCTGCCCATGTCTTGCATACCATGATTTTTCAACCAAACCTTGTTTGACACTCCCTTTGTATTTTCCTCAGTTCTAGACTGACCTATCAGAGAGTGCATGATCGTTAGGGAGAGGGGAAGGGCACATTCCTGAACATGAGTTGAATGACCCAGCCTCCAGCTTCAGCTCCAGCTTCCCCATATACTAGCTACATCACCCCTGGCAAGCCACTGCTTTGAGCAGTCTCTTCATCTGTAAAATGGCCCTAATATCTAGCCTACTTTTTCACCCAAGGTTCTTTTGAAGATGAAATGTGATGACATATGTGAAAGCAATTTATAAATTTTCAAGCTTTAAATAGATGGTGATTATTATAGTAGTATTTCAATATGCCTCTAATTAAGCTATCAGTTAGGTTAAAAAATGGTAACTACAACAACTGTGTATGTAGAAACCAACTACCACAGACCCTTGGGAAAAGATACCAAGAAACAAAGAACGTACAACCTATGTCAGTCATTTTAGAGACTCTCATGGGATCAGAAGTGACTGCCTAGGGTGGTACAATGAGCCAGGACCACAAGTACTTCTTAACCCTTCTTGTGTAGAGAAAATCTCATTCAGATGTCATTGTTGGCTGAAGCTTCTCATCTCTATGAGGTACTTAAAGTTTCTTTCCTTGCACTGCACCACCCCCTTCCTGCACCCTAGCAAAAAACAAAGCGGGGGGGGGGGAGTTCCAATGATAGTCAAAAACAAAAAAGACTTCAGGAGCCATAATGATAAAGAGTGGTTTTAAGAGGGAGGAATAAAAGGACAATATTTTAGTAAATACTGTTGTCTTTCCTCCCTTTCCTTCCATGTCCCCTGAAAGGAAGACTCCAGCTCTTGAAAAGCCTACAGGATGAGGGTGAGGTTGAAGGGGAAAGAGGCTTCCAGTACATAATTTGACAGTTCTGTTCTTCAGTGGCTCCTCTCCAAACACGGAAGTAAGATCCAGATGGTCAAGACCAAAGCTTGGGCATATGTGAAAAAAGCTGTAAGAAGGAGGCTATAGTCAAGACTGGGACTTTTAGTTCCATACAGTGGAAAACCCAAACCAAATTGGCATAAGCAGAAGAAACTCATATTATTAGCAGCTCATAATATTGAAAATTGGAGAAGTATTCCAGATACAAGTAGATGCTTTCATCTCCATCTCTGTTCTTTATTCCTCATGGTTAGTAGTTTTCAGCCTCTATAGTAGCTTCAGGCTCATAAAATCTTTACTGTTAGGCTCTTACTTCCCATGATCTCCTGTAAAAGTCCCAGAAACCACATTGATTGACCAGTCCAGGATCACATATCCATCCCTGAAGCTAGGAGTGGAATCCTTTTAAACTATATAGACTGAGAGTAAGAAGAGGAGTGGATCCCCAAAGGGAAATCAGGATGCTGTTACCAAAAGGAGGAAAAAAGAGAGGCAAAGCAGGCAAAATTAAGATCCAACACAGACACCTCAGCTGACAGGTTAAGTATAGGTTAAGATGTGCCATCCTGGCTCACACAAAGTCTGGCACAAGTCCTCCAGGAGAGGAGACAGATAGGAAAATAGGGTCACAGCTCTAGGGAGGAATAATATGTAGTCATTGGCCAAAACGTCCTGTGTACTTGCTGTAAGTCTCCTTTAAGCCTTGTCTCTATCTATCAGGAGATGGACCGACAATTATTCACTCTCATTATGAAGACCTACGTGGAAACCTATCACCTTACATTATATATAATCTAATCCAAAGATCTCAGCCTGGAATTCCACCCCCATCTCTCTCAATTCTCCTTTAAGCCAACCTGCCTAACACCTCCCCCACAAAAGCATCTATGAGATTTTGGCATAGTATTTTTGCTTAGATCATATCCCACACCTGAAAGGCCATCAATTTTTGTTTCCTGTATCCACTGTCTACCACAAAGTTTTAACTCTTTCTCAAAACTGACTTTCTCCTAGAAGTCTTTGCAAGTCATACTCCCACACACACTTTTTATGGCCACTCTTTCTTCCTCATTTTTGCCATTTACATACTCAACTTAAGCTTCTGTAACTCTTCAGTTGACTGAAATAGGTTCCTATTAATTAAACTTCTGGTTAAATTAGGTCAATCACAAGTTTTTTCTTTTGTTGACCTTTGCTCCCCCTAAAATTTGTCCATCAATTCATATGCCTTAAAGTATCACTAACAGATAATTTATGAGCACACAACACACAATTCCCTCCTGACCTCCTCAGAGAACCCAAGTCCTTCTCACTGCTCCTTAGCTCTCTCTTCACTCTGACTCCTCCACTGTACTGTTCAGCACTATTCCAGAACATTTGACACCTGCGTATGTGTAGAATAAGTGAAAGAAAGAATCGAAATCTAGTTGATTTGGCCTGACAACTAGAGTCCTTGCAGGAAAGTGTTCAACCCAACAACCCATCCTTGAATCAATCACTCTGGTCCAAGTACTCTAGACTCTGATTAGATAAGCCTGTGTCACATGCCCAACAATCAAATTTGTATGGAACCTCATGTAAGGAAGTGTGGAACCACCTTCTTCCTTCTCTCAGGATGATTGTACATAAGGCATGCTTCCTACTTTCCCCTACCTTATACCAACCACTCACTAGTCAAAAAATGGTATGCATAATGACAGAACCATGGTGGTAACAGAAGTCAGATGGAATTGATCTTTCCAGGAATTGCTAGTACTGTTGGGATTTGGAGAGAGGGGTGAATTGGGGTGAAAACCAGAAGAGATGGAGGGTAGATAAGGAAATATGGTTGAGGTTAGAGAAGGGAATTAGTCCTGGATCTTCCCAACACTCTTAGTACAAGAAGTGGGCAAGAAATAATAGTCTCCTTACCTGTGTAAACCATCCCTCATTCACCCCTGTGTGGATGGGGTGCTTTGTACATCCCATCACATTTTCCCTCTGTGCTATGATGCCATGTGTAAGAGTTGGAAATCCTAGACAACAGTGGGGGGTTTCTAGTCTCTTCTAATCTTTGGTTTATTTCAATTAAACATTAGAGTATGTGCCAAGAGGTGGTTCCCATTTACGCTTATAATGAGCAACAGTTTGACTTTAAAATCCTTTGGAGAAAATACCCTAAAAGGCCACAAGATGGAAATAGTACCACATAAAACACAGTATGTGACCATCTCAATGTGTGCACGTTGTAAGTACCTGTCCCTCTTTTACTACATCTTTCGCAGTATTTAGTTTTCTTCATGAGCTAGTTTCTGTCTGTATATTATCTTTTATGTTTAAGTCTTTCCATTATCCATTTTCCTTTCTCTTCCCCTTCATTTATTCTTATTTTTCTCACATTTCTCCCCAAGTAAAATAGTTTAGAGGCATATTATACTGGATTGTAATTTCAAGTAAGATTTTATATTTTCTTTTTTTAACAGAACTATTAGTGCCTTCTTTTAAAATTCCAAAAGAAGAGTGTTCTCTCTGGGGAAAATATTTAAACTATTTTGTAATGTATGTTGTTCTTTTGTGGGTCAATGATTATCAATTTAAAGATTCCCTATCATTGCTTTTAAGGGTGAAACAGTTTCCATCCCAACCTTCCCTGCTATGCAAGGTATTAATGTAGAAAATTAAGTGTTCAAAGGCAAAACTTGAAAGTCAACATGCCAAAAGAAACATTAAAAATATCTAGAAAGATGACTTAAAGATATGACTTAGAAAACAAATAATTGATTATTAATGGACAAGGTATAAATTTTGACTAGAAAAATTCAATACTCATGATTTTATTTATATACCTGCTGTGAGGGTGAAACAGAACAATACTATACAGGTTAGGATTTGAAGTAAGGATGAAAACAAATGATATCATCTGAGATGGGCCTTGAAGGATGGACAGACAAGATTTTTGGAAAAGGTCTATTCCTTGGAGAAAATGTCAAATGCAAAGGCAAATACACAACAATGTAGGTAAACCCCCAAAACATCATGCTGAGCGAAAAAATCCAGACTTAAAAAAAAAAAAAGTCATACTCTTTTATTACTACACTTATATGATATCCTTTCTCTAATGATAGAAAGAAAACAGATCCACTTAGTCTAATGGTGGAAAGAAAACAGATCCACAGTAGCCTAGGGTTCCAAGTCGGGGTGGGGACTAACTTGGAAGGGACATCTGGGAACCTTTTGGGATGATAGTAGTGGTGGTTACACAGGCATATTTTCCAAAAGTCAGAACTATCCTCTTAAAATAGGCATATTTTACCCTATGTAAACTATACTTCAATAT